GTGGGCCTGCTGCTGCTGCTGCTGCTACTACCGCGGATGACCGTGAAGGGCATGGCGAGAGAGGGAAGAGACTCTCAAGGTGATGGTGGGAGGCGCGTCAACAAATACTATGGATTTGACCTGGACTGGATGCCAGCCCAGCAGCTCGGAGCTAGCTTGACAGGGTTGGGCGTGCCAGCCAGCAAAGGAGGTCAGGGAAGGGGTCTACCTCGCTCAATCAGGCGGTGATGATGTAGCTGTACTGCAGGCAGAGCACACGCTCGCAAGATGGCATGGCAGTCTGTCTGTCCGCTTATTGAATGCAGGCTTGAAACGGAGAGAGCGAGCCAAGATAGATGAGAGACTGGAGGGTGTGGTGAGGATTCCTGTGGGGGACATGTGGGTGCTCGCTCGCTTGATGATTTAAGTCTTGTCCCTTTGCTTTCGGCCGTACTCTGACTTGGATTATTAGAGGCCCATGATGATAATAGTGACGGTTTTCATTACTCGATCGATCGAGTACAGTCTGTTCCCGTTGCCGCTCCGGGGAAGACTGTTCATTCGCAAGGAACAGGAACCTGTGGGTGGAATGACCCCTGTCTGTTCGACATCATCGATCCCACATAAAGGTTGGCAGCGATCGTTGCTGCACCACACACCAGACTGGACTTGAGCACAGCCAAGCCATACTTTTGGCGCCTTCGCTCATCAGCCTGCATCAGGGCGAGGGCCCGAATGACATTCCGACGAATGATTGGTGTCTGGGTTTGATGACTGTGGATGCGTGTCGCGTGTTCGTATTTCAGGGTCTTTGCCGTATTCTTTGCTGCTGGGCTGAGCAACGCTGTGCTTTACTTAACTTAACTTCGGAGGTGTGTTTCGGCATCGGAACATGTCGCGTCTTGCCTAGGTATAGACCGGTAATTAGATGGTTTCGAAGCGTCCGGGAACATTTGCTGAGGGCGCCATCATGTCATGATGCACCAACCTTGTCGATGTTTGAGGCATCGAGTGCGCGTTGGCGTGATGGGGGATTGACGTCAGTGGCCCAGGACAGTGTATAATCTTAATACACTGTGATATAGGCCGCCGGCTGCAGGTTCGGCACAGTGTCTGAAACCAATGACTGGACTGCCAGCGCATCACAGAGCACTTCGTCAGTCGCACAGGGGACCTTGGATCAATCAAGGATTGCTCACCGACAAGCTGGATTTGGAACTTGCCTGGAACGTTGCAGTCTTCGAAAGCCACACTTCTTCCGTGTATCTCTCTGCAGCCTCCGCATGGCGCAGTAACGCCACACTCCGACGTTGTGGCTGTGGCCGAGCTTCGTGCAAAAGACCCCTTTACGTGTTTGTATTTTTATTCGATCAACAGTTGATGTCGCCGCCACTCTCTTCCATGGAGATGGTATGGTATCGCGGTATCCCCGCGGGCAATATAGGTGTCGTGACCTTGTCTCGTCGCTCCGCACCTAGTCACTGTGCGAAGGAAGTCGCCTGTGTATCACTAAATGAGACCACATGACAGCTCTGAACGAGGACGAAGGGCGTCCAACAAGCGAAAAAAGGACTGTGAATCACACTGGGACCCTTTGCGTGATGACCAGATTGCCACTGGATAGAGATTCGTCGAACTCCAGCAACCCTCTTCATCTCTCTCCCTCTCATGCCACGCCCTGAACTTGTGAAGACCAGCTTCTCCCACTTTCAGACAGACGTCAGAGATCAAACAATCATGAGCTGCACTGCGTTCAGCCCACCCGCTCTGCCATCCGCCATCGTGCGGGTCCTCAACGAGCCTGTGCTGCCCCCTGAGATCGGGCACCAACACACGTATGCGACGTTCGGTCCAGAGAGGCCCTCAACGCTCTGTAACACGGATATATGGGAATGCGATGATGAAGAGAAAACCAGCGGCTCATTAACCCTGACGGCAGTCACATCTGGAGAGTTGATCTGGACCGAAGAGTAAGTCTCCAGTCTGCACGCTGAATGGCGGTTGACATGTGTAGCCCTGGCCGCCAGAGAACAGTGACCAGGACTGTCCACGAGCCATGGGATGCCTTTCCCTCAGAGTGCTCGTACTCAGTAGTTCTGTCCACCCTCACAGTGACCGAGACCGAAACACAGACAGAGGAACCAGCCAGTACTACGACGGGGCTTGAGCGGCCAGACGCAGATAGCAGTGGTTCGAGAACAGCGCCCATCCCGGGAGTCGCCTCTTTCATGGGCGCCGTGGTCAGATCGGCGAGAGGCATCTGGCTCGGTGTTTGGGCGGGGTTCCATCGCTAGAGCATAGTGGTCTCCCATATTCCATTACGGCAACATAGCAGCTAAGCAATATAGCCATTGCCGCGTGCCCCTCTCACAAATCCCATCGTGCAACACTTCCATGTTGAGACACTGCCTGTTCTGGCTCTGAATCTGGATAAATCTCCAGGGCCTGTCTGATGCCGAGCTCCCTGCCCACATACAAGAGCAACCGCCCCGCCGAGGCCGCCTGCTCTGGCGTAGTCGACTGGGTGATGTAGACGGCCGTCAGGGGCCAGACGAGCCGCAGGGCCTCGAACAAGGTCTTGGGCGAGTGGTCCTGGCTTCGGACGTCGCGGGGGAGGTGCTCGGACGCAAAGTCGACAATCTCCTGCGCCGAGCTCCTCACGCGCTCGAGGCAGTAGGTCCTCTCTGTCTCCAGTCGAGCCAAAGGAATGGGGCACAATGGGTGATGGGTCACCAGGTTGACGAGCTGCTGCGCAATGTGATATCCCTTGACCAGGGTGGCGCAGTACATGTTTCGCCAATAGGGGCCGAGAACGTCGACTGTGGCTTCTATTTCAGGCATAGCCATGCCGACGTTGGCTTCATGCTCGGCCGCCGTTAGCTCGCCCATGAGGGAGACATATTCGCGCGCCGCAGCCTCCTTGTCATCGGCTTCCACCAACGCAAACATGCGGGACTGTATCGTGGCGACTTTGACCATGAGCACGGACGCTATGAGAGCAAGCCGTTCGTCCTCGGATATGACGTGGTCAATAGATTCCAGCCAGGCTTGTGACTCGGGGGGTGAGCTTTTGGTACTGATCAGGCATCCGACTTGCTGTGATTGTCAGCGACGTTGGCATGAGGGGCAGACAGACGCATGGTCATACCACAAGGTTGAAGCCAGTCCAGAAAGCCGCCCGGCTGCAGTCTGACCGTAAGTTTTCGATTCCCCGGCTTTTCATGATGCTGTAGAGTCCATGGAGGTGGGTATGCCAGTTACTCTGGAACGGATCGCGACCCAGAGATCCGATGAGGATCTCGTAGTTGGCCAGGATCCAGACGGTCGCGAGGACGTCGTCACGGAAAACGCCATCAGGCTGGTTCAGGGCTTGGGCGACAGCACTGATCGTCTTGCCCATGTAGGCCCCCAACTCCCGCCTGTTCTCGTCCATAGTTTCGTTGTGGATGGCCGTGGGGAAGCGGAGGTTGATCACATATGTTCTTGTGAACAGGTGCGCAGCCCAGACGAGAGGGCCTTCTGTCGGGTAGCAACTAAGCATTCTTCTCAGAAATCCCAAAGTCGAATAGACATTGAGCAAGATGGGAATGGAGTGGTTGGTCCAGTGCTCACTAATGGCTCGGGCCATGGGCATTTGGACCTGAAAGGTACCAAAGGCATCGTCGCCGCCAGCGAGAGGTACGAGGTCAGTCGGTACAGTTGCCATGAGGTTGGGGTCGAGGTCCGCATCCAGATTCACGGTGGATGGCGAAGAGAAGCTGCTGGATGAGGCGTGGCTAGATGCAGACGGGGTCAACGTATCCGTCTGGCCCGTCAGGAGTTGCGGTGTGCGCTTATTACGCTTCTTGGTATTGGCCGGGTTGGCGTCACGGAACAGGAGATCTTGCTGGTCCCGGTACCCAGGACACTCTGCGCCGTATTTGATGCACCGCTGGCATTGCGGTCTGGCGAGATCGCACTTTGGGATGTTGTCAGTCGCCTGCGTCGCAACAGGAGAGATTGGAGGAGGGTCACACCTTGACGCGGCGTTTGCGGCACAAGTGGCAGTCCTTGCTCGGCTTGCCCGTGTTCGGCATGATGTCTGGTCGATTTGTCGGGTTCTCTCACATTCTGAGAACTCGATGAGCCGTGCTGGTGCCTGTCAGCACGAGGCAACGGTCACTTATGCTCGAGTGAGTGACGATAGATGGTGAGAGGGGTGGAAGATGCTCGAGTTTATGTAGTGAATGGATTGCAGCCACCAGTGCCGACGACGTAAGCTTGCCCCACAGTTCAGGTGGCCCAAAACGGCTTAGCTTCATGTCCTTTCGTGCGTGTAAGTCGAGGGCGCAGCAGCTTCTGTTGGATGTTCTTGTATGCAAAAGACGAAGATGAGTCAGACCACAGGTTCATAACCAAGGGCAAGGCTAATCTGGATACAGAATGCTATCTGCGTCGCCACAGATTTGGATAGAGCTTCTGTGGATGGTAAAGTCCCTGTACGGCTAGCTGTTCTCAGCGCTCTCGCTATAATCACCTCTGTTTGATCGGAACGGAGAGTAGCAAGGGCACATAAGCGCTATTTCCATGCACAGAAAGACAAATCAGAATCCAGATAACAGATGCTTCACGTCACTGCCTGAAACCTGCCCCCTGGGACCACACCACACCGTACACAGACTATCAGTTTCCATCCAGCAATAGCCCTTCATCGGCAGCAATGCTAGTGTTACAATACAATGTAACTATGCCTCCTATCACTGATGCCCGCGTGTTGACTGCACGAAGCGGGTTTTGTCGTAGATGTTGGTGAAGCTCGCTGTACCATTGCCTTCCCAATTTGGCCTCCTCTCCCCTTTCCATTGGCTCATCCAGATCACACACCAAAAACCCCGCTCTCGCTCTCACATAGACACGCCAGAGTCAGTCAGCCCCTTTCCCACCCAGGCCCAGGGCTATAAATTGTCCTGTTTTCTCTTCCCTGGAATCCTCATCTGCTCTTCCTCAAGTAGCCCCATTTTGAACCAAAAGTCCCGCCCCCAATGGCGCACTACTCGCAGAGAGACGACCTCTTCCCCATGGCTGGCGCCTGTCCCTGCCACCAGACAACCTTCACCATCCACCTCGCCCCTCTCCTCGTCCACGCCTGCTACTGCCAGACATGCCAACAACAGACGGGGGGTATCCTCGCCCTCAACGCCATTGTTGAGACGTCTGCTCTGCAAGTACAGCACGCCCCTCCGACAACACCACCAGGATACCGCGAGCCCTTTGCCAAGGTCACCGGCGCAGACCAGCAGCCGCAAGAAGCCATGGCCTTGAAGAAGACCTGTGTTCCGAGTCCGTCTGGCGTGGGGACAACCCTGGTTGGATGCCCGACCTGTGGCACGACGATATACACCCACTATGCGGACGCTGGACGCTATCTCGCGTACGTGCGTGTCGGCCTCTTGGAGCGAGCCAGCGACATCACACCTGACGCACACATCTACACGGCAGAGAAGGCGTCCTTTGTGGCCATTTCCGATGGCAAGCCACAGTACAGGGGGTACTATGCTGACAGGAGTGAACTGTACAGGGAGGAGGTCAAGGACAGAGTCGAGGCGCTGGCCGTCATGGTGGGCCAGTACCAGGAGATGATGGCAATGTGAGAGACAGAAAAAATGTGAATTCTCTAGTTCAGATGTTGTAGGCATGCACCTTTAAATATCCCATCTCCTCTCGTACATTACCGTAAAATGGATCGTGGAATGTACCACGCTGAAGAAGCACAGATGTGTCCGCTTTCCAACATCTTCGTCGAGGCCACGGCAAACTATAAAAACCAATGTGGACTTGCGTCCGGGTATCACTCAAGCAGTCCATGAGCAGTATCCAAGTAACATGCAAAGGCAGGCTAGGCTCGCTGCTCACCACGTGCCGCGTGGCCTCTAGCAGCCCGGCTTGCGGAAGCTCTCCACACCCAGCAGAGGCACCTCGACCTGCGCTATCCCTGGGACGCCCTCGTCCCGGCGGCGGTCGGCAAAGTTGTTGCATTCCCATATCACCTGGCCCCACTCCGCGAGGGCTCGGCCGGTGTACACGGCGTTGTTGACGTATAAGCCTGCCGGCTTCACTGGCTCTGTGATCGGTTCGGCAACCAGCTCCTGGGCTTCGTCCACGGACACCTCAGCCGCCTCCGTGGCAGCTGCCTCAGGCGGGCCAGAGTCTTCGTCGTCTTTGTGCGCCATGGCCTCTTTGACAAGGGAATCCGGCCGATTATCGACCTTGTCTGTTCCACCAGCCAACGCTCGTAAGCTGACAACAGCCTGGGCCGGAGCAGGCAGGCGAGGTCGAGTGAGGACGCGGTCGCGCGGGGGCATGCTGGGCTGGTGCCAGGCCAAGAAGAACTTGAAGACATATTTTTGTTCTTCGTAAATGGGCGACGAACATGAAGAGTCCGAATCGCTCGATCCGATGGATGTGGAAATCTTCGAGGGCGCATTCGCGTGGCGCGCCTCGGCCGTCTCCCGCCGCGCGTTGATAAACTCCTCGTCCCACGACGACTTGCGGTCGTGACCCTTTGATGGATTCGATCCCGCCAGGGACATGATCTTGCCGAGGATAGACCCCTTCTTCTTCGCCTCGGGTTTCGGGGCCGCGCCCTCGCCAATCTCGTCGGCACTGACGACGTCGAGGCCCGAGACCTTGGAGAAGGAGTCAAAGTTGACAAACAGGCCCGGCTGCGGCTGGCTGACTTCCTGGCGGATGATCATAAACTTCTTTCCCGGTGTCGGTACGGTCGGCGCTGTGGAGGGTGCGCATCGTCCAGCTTCCTCGGCACTCTGTTTTAGGTGCAGGTAATGGGACCAGGCGGTTTTTAAGCGTGCCGAGACGACGGTGTAAATGTTTCTGGCGGTTGTTAGGTGATGATCAGATTCAAAAGGAAGAACAAAACTCACGTGTCTACCGCGTCGGCGTCCCCGACACACCGACAGATCCGCCAACACAGCAAGCGGTGGTAGTACGAACGCACCATGGGGCACCAGTGGTTGAAGAAAGTATCAAACACCTCCTCCGTCAGAAGCCAGTCCAGGCAGAGTGAAGCTTTGCGGGCCTGGTCTTTGACGATGATCGGCCAAATTGTGTAGATGAAGGACATGACGCGCACCTCGGACATGGTGTTCATAGACCGCATGGCCCTCTTGAACACGTCCATCCAGAACGGCCAGTCAATGTAGGACTCGCTGCCGGACATGGGGTCCTCGTAGTCGTCGTATATAGTCAGGGCTTCTTCCAAAAAGTCGCACATGGTGAAGCAAGCTGCGGTGTCAAACTGCGACGTCTTCATCACAGCCGCCTTGATGATGGCAGCGCATGTCTCTGCAAAAGTATGCCGCGCGCCAGCAAAGCCCGGCAGGGCATTCGACATGACATCCTTGAGCAGGATGATCACATTATTCTCACTCATGCCCTTCATGAGGTTGGCAGGCGGTAGTGGCATGGCCATGGCCGAAGCATCGGCGCCGGGCATGGGATCCATCGCATGCAAGCCCGAGTCCATAGCTGCCTGACGATGAATCGTGTCGTCAATAATGGACAGTAGCTTGGCGTGTACCAAGACATATCCAGGAGCGCGCGCCTTCTCGACGAGTGGCAATTCGGATGGCAAAAAGTCGTCCGTCAAGGCGTGGAATTCCTTGTAAAAGACGAACAACAGATCAGTCTGATGACCCTTCCACCTCAATACCCAGGGCCCCATCCACTGAACTCGTGAAATCACCATTGGCATGTTCGGGATGCGCTTGAGTGTGTTCCACATGGATTTTGGCGATGTCCAGCTGAGGGAAGCCAGCTGGGGAGGGAACATGGCCACCGTGTCGCCGCCTTCGCCCTTGTAGCGCCTCGGCAATCCCATTGCATCCGCCGCCCGCCTGATGAGCTCGGGGCCCATGTTCCAAAGACGTACCAAGATATCTGCTACACCAGGCACGAAGAAGAGGGCGTAGGCGCAAGTCGCACCGGCAAAGGTCACCAGAACCTGTGGCGAGTGCCTCGCGGCCATCTTCTCCACCACAAAGGCCATCTGCCTGGCAAGGTTGGTGATGAACATGGTCCTCACATTGTGTTCCGCCGATTCAACCAAGAAAGCAGCAGAGTGATCGGAATCAGTAGCCTCTGTCGTTCCGGCACTTCGTTTTGACCTCTGACGCTCCCAAGCGGCTCGGTCGGCCAGGGGCAGGAAGTACGGTGTGGTTTGCCTCCATTCGGGACGTGCCATGATCGTGGTCAAGGTGTCGAACACAACGGGCCGGTCGACTCCTGGCACCGCCCCCATACCTACGCCGTCCATCAGACCGAGAAGTCCATTCCACCACTTGTCCAGGATGACCGCGCGTCGATCGATATCTTCCGGGGAAAGCTCCTTGTTGGATGCATGACCCATCGTGCCGCGGAGAAAGGGCAAGACGAGCGTCTGCAACTGGGCAATACGCTGCGGCGTCGACTTTGCAGTGAATCCCTTAAACTCCACCTCCAGGTTCTTGAACGACGACCAGAGGGGATCGCGATCGGGCTTGGGCAGCGGCGGCATTTCGGCGGACGAGTCGTCGGTCACGGTAGGGGCTTGAGATAGTCGATCATCCGTAGTCATCGAGGCACCGGGTCCTAAACTGCTGGCAGACGAGGCACAGCTGTTGTCGAGCTCGGCGATGGCGTTGAACACTTTCGGCTTCGACTTTATCTTGCTAAAGTAGGAGCTCGCCCGGTTGAGCGCCTTGGATGGTCGGATTGGCTCAGATCGGCGGTTCTTGGCCAGGTGAGGCCGTGTCTCTGCTGCTGTCTCAGATGGGGGGCGGGCCACCAGTTGGGGAACGTCCTCCACATCTTCGTCTTGCTTGTCCTTGGCCGTGTTTGGCCGACGCTTTGGCGAGGGCGAAGGCGAGGATGACAGCCAGGACCTCTTTGCAAAGTTGACGAGGCTATCCTGGACGGCCGCGGTCTTGCCCGAGACGGAGCTGAAGCGCTTCTCATTCACCCCCTCCTCGCCCACGGATGTGACGGGTCGCTGCTGCGGCTCAATGTCAACAGGCTCTTTTACAGGAGCTTTTGACGTTGTGGGAAACCAAGAGCGCGGCCTCTCCATCAGTGAGCCTGCTCGAGAGCGTCGGAGGGCGGATGGTTGTGCAGTCTGGGAATCGCTGTCGGCCGGCTGGCTTCTGGGCGTGGCAGGACGCCATGCTGCAGCACCAGGTTGGCCTGCGGGCCTGGAGGCGTCGCTGAGGAAGAATGATGTGTCGAGCTTGAAATCGTTGTCGAAGTTGGGCACTTCGTAGGGTCGGTCGTCTGCTTGTTCCGTCGCTCGCTGACTTTGGCGGGAGGAATCGAAAGAGAAGTCGGACATGGACATGAGCTCAGGCGTCGAATGAGATCTGGGGAGGCCGTTGGAGGAGGACTCGATGGCCGGCGCCATGAATACCGTAGAGCCGCTCATCGCATCGGCCTGCTAGAAAGGAAGAAGAAGCAGAAGCAGAGGGGGGCAGTCAAACGACGCTTGGTCGAGTGGGAGGATGGGCGTCTCGTCTACTCAACCATGGCTATGGATGGGCTGATCTCTGGCCGGCAGAGTGAAGGGCAAGGCGAGGTAAGGTAAGGTAAGATAGGGAAAGCAAAGATGTGCTGGACATGCGATCAAGATACAAAAGCGCAGATGCGAAATGAGGAACAAGAGGTTGGAAAACAGGCTCACAATAATTATGAGAGCGACCGACTGGAGGTTTGTTTGAGGTTCGGTCAAGGGAAGGGAGGGTCCAGTCCATTTGCCATTGACATGGACCTGGATGCGAGAAATGCTCGACGTCTGACTTATTGTGGCCGAGGGTCCACCGAGCTACTCACTGCACTGGCACTAACTTGCGGGCGGGGCGCTGTGGCTTCACTGGCTTCACTGGCTTGCCCCAGCTCCAGGCACCCAGCGCCCCAGCGTTGCGCGCTGTTCGGCCTGAGTGGCAGCCAGTGCGCCTAATTACACCGCTAATGATGCCCCCGAGCACGAACGACAACGCACGCCAAGTCCGATGGCGACACTTGCTGTTGGGCACAAGAGGCTGAGTCTCGCGTAAAGTGAGGTATGGATTTAATTTAGCATCCCATGAGGGAGTCAGCGAGAAGGCGTCGATCATCATCATCCACCGCCAGCTGGCAGTCCAATACGTTTATTGTCATCGAGATGCCACAAATTCCAGCGACAGTCTTGACACTTCACTGCCATGAGACATCTGAACCAACGATTCCCGGTCCATGGGCTAACTGAAGTGATGGCAAGACAAAAAAGAATGAGACGGGTCCTCCGGAGATTGAGGAGCGAGCGCGCTATGCGTTGACGTCGTGTGGCCCCAGTCCGCAGCTCGGCGGAGTAAGTGTGGCCTTCCTCAGCTGCTCTCTCAATCTCCCCTCGTAACGAGGCTGTGATGGGCGCTCTCTCACAAAAGATTGGGCGTCCCCTCTCAGGGGGCCAAAAGTCGGCATCATAGAACCTCCAGTCCTTGCCGCCGAGTGCACCGCAGGAACACCACCTCCGTCGTCGCCGGTGTGCGTGGACCCTGAGAAAAAAGTTGTCATCAGACATGAGAGATCGGGAGGATGGCGGCCTGCCAAGGCTGCTCCTCAGGGG